TAGAGGTCAATCTGTCTACCAGCAGTAAGAATGCTACAGTTCATACTGACTTGGGAAATCAGAAGTGCCCACTTCCAGAGACAAATAGATTACAAGAAATAATTTTGAATGCTTTAGGTTATGGATCTTCAGTGTATAAAATGCGGAATCCTGAAGAACTGAAGACAGGTAAACCGAAAGAAGTACCAAGTGGGAGACCTCAGCATTTGACTTATCTCAACTTCGACGAGTTCTGGAACACAATAAGACAAGAAAAGGGCAAAGTTATCCCCAAGCAGCTTGCTAACATCACTCATCGGCTTGAACCTGATGGAAGAGAGTATAACTATGCCTCTTTGACAAAGGGTGCAAAGGTGCTTGCGTATAATAAGGAGGCTAAAGGAGCATGTAACATACTGGGGAAGGATCATGATAAGTACCTTAGAAACCCTTGTTCTGTGGTAGAGAAGTTTGTTGTTATCGAGCTTTCGGAGGAGACACTGGTTGATGTTGTTAAAATTGCGAATTTTGAACATTATTCCTCCAATTTCAAGGATTTTGAACTGTCTGGAAGTTTAAACTATTCAACCAAAAGTTGGATTCCTTTGGGAAATTTCGTGGCTGCAAATGTCAAGCACATTCAAGATTTCAAACTGCCAGAACCCAAATGGGTGAGGTATTTGAAGTTGAATTTACGTAGTCATTACGGGTCAGGATTTTACTGCACATTGAGTGTTGTCGAGGTATATGGAGTAGATGCCATTGAGCGTATGCTTGAAGATTTCTTTGTGCCATCCGAAGAACCTCTTCCCATTGAATTGCCAAAGCCTAGTTTAACTGCAGCACCACATTTAAAGCCAGAATTAAATCAAACTGACAAGGAAAGTAGTGGAAAAGTTAGCAATGGGGTCGATAATGCTGGTATGGGGGCCGAGAACCTATCTGATATTCAACAATCCCATCCTGATGGGAAGAAAAGTCCTGAGAGTATAAACATAATTGCTGAGCCAGTAACTGAAGTTAGACAGCTACCAATTAGCAGGAAACCAGGCGACACTCTTCTAAAGATCTTGATGCAGAAGGCGAAGTCACTTGAACTAAGTTTAACTATGCTTGAGGGGTATATTAAAGAAACGAATCAGAGAAAAGGAGATATTATGCCAAAGCTTGAAGAAGAGCTATCTGGAATTTCATTGCTTGTGGAGACGACCAGAACAGAAATTAGAGATCTCATGGAATGGAAGGAGAAAACGGTATTGCTTGACTTCCAAAATATTCAAAGAGGTAATTTCTGCGATTTCCTAACCATCGGTTTGGTTTTTATTTTCAGGATACAGTGCTCATGGAGTACCAGTCATGGAAAGCCGGTGTCTCATCTAGTATGGATATGTTGGTCAGAGAAAATATGAGGCTAAGGTGGGAAACATCAATATTATAGTCAAAATTCGTTTTCAAATACTTTGGGTTATTATTTTCCCAGACTGTCTGCTATCTCTCATTTATTTTCAAGTTGTCCTAGATGAAAAATACATCAAGCATTTTCTTTTGCATGCCATGCTGTTCCCTGTTGATGTTGATGTAATCTTTTAGCTCGTTTAACCATTTAGATGATAATCTACAATGATTTGCCGATCCTCTACTTCTAATATCATGTTGCTTTCACTCTTGTTCAATAAATTTTACCGTTTATTCACTCGTTCGGATGGCTGACAAGCTTTCCCGTTTGTCAACCCCCCCCCCCCCCCTTTCAATCCTTTCAGCAGATTGGACATCGAAAAGGTTGCAAATGATCAGGCAAATCTGGAAAGTAAAGAACTCGCTGTGCTAGCCATGAGTCTTTTCTTCATGTGCTTTTCAACTGCCATGCTAATCTCTGCAAAAGTTTCAAAATATTTAGGAGCAGCTTCAAATTCAGACAAGGCATGCCGAACCAGCAGAGGTTGGATGATGATACTAGTTAGCAGCACCATGATAATATTCATTACAATACTCTCCAGCTAGTCCCTTCGTCGTGGCTTGAATTTTTCCCCAGAGCATTGCAGTCAGCTAATGTAATGCTTCGGGGTTGCGATATTATAAGAACCACAACGACTTTCATTAACTTGTTCTGTAGGTGGTGTTCGTTTTTTGTAGCTCTAGAAAATCAGGTCATTTGTTGATATTTGGCTTTGGCCTCCTTGTAACTGTACACGAATGTAAAGAATGTTGTTATTGTCTCTGTCTTGCTTTAATCTTGAATGAAGGTGTGGTAGTGAAGAATGCTGCCATTTTTCCTTTTGGTTTCTTCAAATTCCATGCATGATAACATGAGAAGGTAAAGACAGAGGATGGAGCCCAGAGCAAAAACAATATAATATTTTTTTTGAAAGCAGTGATGATATGCATCGGGAAATTCTTAACATGAAAAAACAAATAAGCTCCGTTACAGCCACAGGAGATGTAACTTCAGGACATCTTGAACATATTTTTTTGAACACTTTGTTATCATAATATTAAGAACATCAATTACTAGCCGCCACGTATAATTTTATCCCTTTTTTTTCAATTTAATATTTGAGTTGCATGTTAAAAACACATTTAGTTGTATAAAAGGACCAGCAATGTTTGGAGGAGTGATTAATTTTATTTTTTTTTGGAAATGCATTTAAATATTTTTTTATTTTAAAATTTTATTTTTTACATGAGTACATTAAAATAATACTTTTTTATTTTAAAATTTTATTTTTTATATGAGTACATTAAAATAATACAAAAAAAATAATTTTTTTAAATAACAAAACAGTAGTTCAATTGCTACAGCAAACATGCTTTAAATCAACCCTTAAATAAAAATAAAGCTAGTATCAAATTTCCCCTCAAAAAAATGTTTACATCAATCTGTGTGTGTGATGGTCTATTACAACTCTATAGATAGGTTTATTTACCCTTTAAGTTCCCTACAAGATGAGACGATTCTTTTCTTATAAATGAGGTATAATTTAGATGAAAAGACCTAATTGAGAAATTCTGAAACTTGAAAGACAAAATTTATACAAAAAATTGTTTAGGGACAAAATTGATAATACAATAATTGGAAAGTATTTTTCAGATTTCTCTTAAAAATAAACAAGCCCAATAATCCTCCTGGCTTAATTCTGTTTTGTACAGTGATACCTTTAATTTTTAACTCTAAGCAAATTACATCACGTATAATCACATCCAACAAACAACTAATGAATTAGTTATTTTTCCCTTAATGATTATATCAGACAAATTATATCATATAGGTTTGTTTTTTTATTTGAATTGACACTCGCATAATCGTGATCTTCATGATTTTTTTTAATGCAAGTGAATTTTATTTATATAAATTTATATATATATATATATAATTATAAATATTTTAGGATCAATTGATGATGTATTACATATCGTAGTAGAATTTTGTTATGAATTTAACTAGATGTCCAATAAATCTTGGATTCAAATTCAAAAAAGATGCTAAATTCTTTATTTTTTATAAATGTAAATGTTCAAATGTTTACTTAGTTCCTAGATGCAATAAGAGAGAAAAAGGTTGCGAGCCATCCCATTGGAGAAAAATCCCACAAAACATAAAATATTAAACAAAATTAAAGGGTGAATTTTAATATATCCTCCTGAGGTTTAGCATTTTTTCTTTTACCAAAAAAAAAAAAAAACAAGAAGAAGAAGAATGGAGGAGCTTTCCTTTGTATTAAACACCCACCTAAACTCTCATCAAGATTCAATTCTGACCTTTCATCCATCTTCATTTGTTAAACTAATAGAATGATGACGTGGCATGTTTTTTCTGCTCAATTGACTCCTGAAATTAAGAAAAAAATGGTCATTTAAGCACGCATTCCTCATGCATGACTTTGTTTGCTAAGGGGTATTTGTTTTTATGATTAACATGGTTTTTTTTTAAAAAAAATATTAAATTAATATTTTTGTACTTTTCAATAATTTTAATAAGTCAATATAAAATATAAAATTTATTTTTAATTAAAAAAAACATTATATCACATTACCAAACACATAATTTTTAACAAATAAAGAAATATTGATAAAAATACATAAACTCGACATATAAATCTTGCATATTCTAATGAAAAACATAACGAGCTCATACCAAGTTAACATAGCTTGATAAAAATAAATAAATAAATAGCATAGCTTGCTATCATCTTTTTAGATTATAGCTCTCTTGGTTAAAAAAAAAAAGGAAAAAAAAAGTCCTTTTTCTAACATGTTCCCTTAAGGCACATCCTAATAGGTTTAATTTGAATTATTTAATTTCCATATCTAGCACCATTGAATTAACGACTAAAATGTCACCTAATTATGGAAACAAAACAATTAACCGTACAAGCAATACCTCTCAATTATATCAATTATGCAATGTGTTCATTTCCATACCAAACAAAACGGGATTACGAATTAAAATTTTACTCAGTTATGAAAATAAATCAATTAATCATATAACCAATGCGTGCCTCAAGAGCACGTGCTAGAAAAACCCAATTAATAATTCTAGTACATTATTATTATTTTTTTCCAGATTATAACTGGATTTTAATTTTAATGGCATTTTTCAGACAATGATATAAAGAAAATAAACCTATTTGATCTCTGATTTCGCAATTGTGTTTATTTTTGGACTCTATATTATGAATAATAAGCATTTATGGGGTGTTTTTCAATTTCTGGTAAGAAAGAATTTATGAATTTTAATATGATTGAAGTATAGACATCTGGTTGAGATTTTCTTGAACTTGAGGGAGTCAATTGAAATATAAAAAATGCTGCACCATCAATCCCGGTAGCTAGTTCAATGGATAGAAGGAGAAACATGAGAGTTTGATAAAAGTTCAGGGAGTAATTGATACAAACATGACAAATGAGAAGCCCCTAAATCCTCACAGGATAAATTAAAAACTACCCTTTAACACGAAGACAAAAAAAAATCAATCAGAAAATAGAAATACAAAAATATTATTTGAATTTACTATTATTTACTGATATACCATTAGTAGCACACCCACTCCCGCACGTTGGAGTCCTCTCCAGTCAGTTATGACTCACACGAGTCACGAGTCACAACTCACAACAAACTCCTTCCCCTCTCGTCTGTAAGAAAAACTTTCGACGACTCAATTTTGTTCTAGGGTTTCTTTCCCTGAAAACACAACGACACCACCCTCTCAAATAAAACGGCTCAGATTTTTACAAAATTAGGGTTTCATGTTCTTCTTCATTTGTGAAATCTTACTCGCTTTCATGTCTTGTAAATGGAGATTACTGCCTTCGATTTCACTCTCTCTCAATCTTTCCTCATAGCCTCATCTCTTACTCTCCTCTCTCTCTCACTCGCTTTCCTCACTCTCCGATCAAAATCACCCAAGCCGGATCTTACCGTCCATTCCTCCACGTCAGCAGCATCAACAACCAAAACGATAACCTGCAGGTGTTGCTGCTCCTGTAACGGTGAAATTGGAAGTTTTAATAGTGCGGATTCTTTTACGGCGGCGGAGAAGTACTTGAACGGCGGCGGTGCGGCGGCGGAGATGGTGGTGGAAAAGCAGACCGGAGCGTCGATGATGGAGCAGCTAGTTCCGGAGATTACGACACACGCGCTTAGTTATTTGGATTATCCGAGTTTGTGTAGGTTGTCGATGACTAATTCACTAATGCGGAAAGCTGCTAATGATGATAACGCGTGGAAGGCGCTTTATCATAAGGTATTTGTTTTGTTTTTGTTGTTATTTTGAGAATTTATTTTAATGTTTCGGTTAATTTTATTACTGATTGTAGATTCTTTTTTAATGTGAAATACAAGGTATTTTTGTTTGAAATATTGTTTTTGTTATTAATTTGGAGTTTTATTGTGTTAAATTTTGGTGTTATGGTTGCTGTTATTTGTTTTTAATCTGGAAAATTGTGGGGAAGATGTGAAATCTGGAGGATTAGGGAATGGGTGTTAATCGTGACGCCCATTAACCTGTAATAATGTAAGGTCTAGTAGTTTCAGAATCTTCTTATATGTTGTAAACTAGGTGGCTTTCTCGATGGAAATACTATAAGACTATTTTTTTTGGAAGTGAGAACATATTTGTCACGGAACTTCATTTTCTCTTTTTGCAGAATCCAGAGAATTAAACTTTAATTCTCTTTTGTAAAACATGTAGGTGTTGAAGAGTTATAGTTTAAGAATCCTTGAACCTGAATAATAAGGCAGTATAGGAGTGCTGTAAGGTTTAAATTTTTCAAAGTTAGCATTTCTCTTTTTAGGATTTCTTGAGTCTTTCCTAGAATTCTGAAAGTTATTCTGTGTCGTTTTTATTTCCCTTTGCTTTGGTCTCCTTGAGTTTAAATTTCTCTTTATTATGATGGATTTACTTGGTTGTCAATTCAAACTTGTAGATGCATTTTCTTTCTCTGCTTCCTATTTTCAGTAGTTGCTTTTGAGTTTTGACTTCTCTGGGTTTTTCCTGTTTTGGTGTGTGTATTGAATCTTTCTCTTTTGCGCTTCCTGTGTTAGGATTTTACACTGGAGCAAGATAGTGTGACACCTGCTAATGGGTGGAAGGCGTACTATGCGGCTACAAGATCCATTGTCAATGTCAATACAGAATTCTTTAACATCATTAGAGAAAGGTCTGTTCAAGCAATGAGTCAATTATGGCTTAACTCGGATTATGTGAAGTGCACCCATGCATCTGGGGAAAATTTTTCAGGGTATGATTATAAAACTTTAACTTTAGCTAATGAGATTAAATTTATGTTTTCCTGCAGCGACAATAAAAATGCATACAACAGTCCTCCTGTTTTCAGCAATTACTGTGGTTTACGTGATATTAAGTGTTTTTTTTTATAGTGACATGCCCCTTTGATGTTTGTTCTCAAGTCATGCTGTTAATTGCAAAAACACTAGGCATAAAGACTTCCTAATAGATGTTGTTTTTTCACAGCTAGGACGTTGTAATTTAAAGACATTTATCCTGGTTAATGCATTTGGGGAGCAAAGGAGGATGTATATAGGATGATGATTGTCTTGTAGCCAATATGTGTGGTCGTGATGAAACATTGCTGGATGGAAATACAGTGGTGATTTGAATTCTATCATTATATAATTATTTTTTGAATTGAAAGGCATGCATCCTTAAGATGCATATCTTATTTATGAAATTAGAAGTGTGTTTAGTATGTTTTCATTATGTGATGGAGTAATACCTCTGCTAGCTTGGGCAATGAGAATCTTGTTTAGAATTTGTTTGATGGGGGAGAATTTGCTTGGTAGAGTAAATATGAACAACTTTGTAATGTTAGAGAAGTACTTGCATACATTGAAAAAGTAGATGAGGGGTGAGGTTATGTCTTCCTATTTGTTAAGGAATGTAGGAAATTAAATTTCAAAATAACTAAATGTTAGGAATGAGTACTTTATTAGATCCCAAAATTAATTTTTATTTGTGACTTCTGCTGTTGTGGAAATTAGAAAGAAGTGATTGATGCTTAGAGGATGACTTCTTATATAGTATGAGTGAATCACCTCTGTCACAAGTACACTGGTTGCAGTATTATGTTTATCAATTAATGAAACTATGTTTGGTGGTGGTTTACTCTTAGGAGAGGGAATCATAGTGTTTTTTATTCCTTAATCACATGGTGTTGCTTCCAACTTGATGAAACGGCAATCAGATAATTTATGTTGGTAGCTGTGTCATATTTGGCAATTTAAGTTCCTTGGATTGTTGGATGTCTTTTTTTAAATGGGAAGTAATAGCAGAAGATTCTATTCCCGAAAGGGAGAAAATAGACCAGAGTTGATATATCTTCATGTAAGACTTGTTATGTGATGACATTCTGTAGCTGCCTGTACTGCTGCCTTGCTTGGATTTGCAACTTCTGTAAAACCATTGTATGCTGTGTTAAAAACTCGTTTGTTCTTGATGTTTGATTAAAGTGAACTTAGAGCTGAGTCATACTTGACCCACAGGTATAACGCTGTAATACAGAGTTGGCAGTTTGCATTTAATTGGGAGCAAGGATTGGACTTCCAGGTTCGTGATGTAAGGGCTCGTGTACTGACTGACATGGCTTGGGTTACCATGAAAATGTATGTTGTTGAGATGGACAATGGGCCATTCAACGTAACTAATGTCTTTGAGTTCCACAATGGACGGTGGCACCTGGTGCATCACCACTGTTCGGTGATGCTCCTCGATGGGGAGGTGGACCAGCCGATTATGCATGCATAAATGAAGAGAAAGAAGAATGAGACCAAGTGATAACTAAAATACTAGTTGCAAAATAGCGGTATTTATTAGCAAGAGCAACTTTCTTTATGAATTCACTTTCAGTTTTCCAACCTCAGTTTTGGTTGCTTTGTGGTAAAGAGGTCATTTTTTTCCCCTCCATCCTGTTATTCTCTCGGTTTCTAGTTCTGTAATTATTTTGCTCAATTCATTCATAGACGCGGATAAACATATACATACATCGGCTGGAAAGTGCGTATTGTACAGTATACCCATTGGAGAAAGTAATTGAAGGACAAAATGGGAAATGAGCCCCGTGATCATCTTTCTGTGCTGGAACATGAAGCGGGGAGGTTTTTGAACGGTGGGATTGCCAGAACATGTGGAGGTCAACTTTTTTGACTTGCGAGATGAGTGACCCTTTACTTGCGTTCAGCCTCTGCCCTTTTTTCTTCTTTTTTTTAATCTTTTCTCTTTTTTGAGAAGGATCCCCTCTGCCTTCTGCCTTAATGTTTACAAATATTTTATTTTATATTTTATTGTTTTTCAATTGTACCATATGCCTTGTGGTGCGCATCGTGAGGCCAGCATGAAAAGATTTGATGTTGTGCTAAGCCTTTAGTTATCCAGTTGAGTCAAGATGGTATGCATTTCTGTTCTGGCAGGGTCCAGAGATGATAGATTTGTGGCAGCTCAAATCTTCAATATCGCCTTGCCTTAATCGTGCTGGTCGGTTAGTGTAGACGACAACTTTCTGTGCTTTTTCTATATGCTCTCCATTCGAAAATAGGAAAAGGTAGCAGGTTAACAGTCGCCCAAGAAATAGCCTGGAAGTAGAATTGTTCGTGTATTCTAGGTTTATGCGTATTAAATAATCACAAAGAAAAATAAACATTGTATGGATTTGCCGCACTTCTGCGTTTGTAAGTTAATAAATATAAGAGGATAACAGTGTGCGCGAAGAGAATGTGTATTATAGCAGGGCAAATAATTTGTGAAACAGGTTAGTAGTGTAATGCGTTTTTTGTGTGGCTTGAGTGAGACTGTTTTTGTTTGTGCATGGAGTCCAGTTGCGCCCTTCTTACCTCCTTACCTGTGACCTGAGAAGCATTTATAAACAATAATCATGCCAATTAACGACGTGGATGGAGAGTAATTTCTAGTCACCAATGAAAGTGAGGCGTTTTATTGATGGACGATTAGCCTGGTAAAGAGATAGTCATTAGTTATCAGTTCTCAGTGAGAGAGGGTGGTGAGGTCAAGAAAGTTGGGGCAGTTGGATAACTGTAAGTGGAAAGGATGACAATTGAAGGCGAAGGAAGTAAGTGTTGTGCTTCTATTAGCAAAGATGAAGACTTTATATTGTGACGTGTGCCTATTATTTTTTGGAATCTATGTAAAATATATTTTTTTCTCGAGGAGAAAACAAGGGAATTCACGAACAAAATTTTGTCCGTTTCGAACCTGACCTAAAGGACTACGATTTTTTTAATATATTTTTGATATATTAAAAAATAAATCATCTGGGATGCAAAATGGACACTCGATCAGCCACAAACTTGAGAACTCGAGACTGGTGAAAAAACAAATGAAAGGGAGAAAAGAAGATTAGATTAATATCAATATTAATAATATGAAAACCGCTCAAAACTTGAGAACTCGAGACTGGTGAAAAAAGAAATGAAAGGGAGATATGAATATTAATAATATGAAAACCGTGCGCACAAGGTTCCATGGTCTAGTGGTCAGGACATTGGACTCTGAATCCAGTAACCCGAGTTCAAATCTCGGTGGAACCTTTTTACCTCTTCCATTTCTTTATGCCAGGCACAAACACAAACATGTTCATTATGATATCTCTGCGTGGGGCCGAACATGCGTGGTTGTTGGATTTGAAGCCATACTGCTCTGCAAGCTAGTGGCTACCATTCATTCCTCTCCCTTCACGCGCATACACCCACTTACAGAGAGGATAGGGAAAGAGAATGGCAATAGCTCTTGTCTCAGTTCCAACACCTCACCAAACCATTTGCACTCGACGCTCATATACTTACAGCAACTCGTGGTTTCATAGCTCTGCAACAACTCTCATTAAGTACCCATCTAAGCCCATCACCAACCCTCTTTGTTCTTCCCCTACCTCTTCGACTTCTGTTGTAGAGGATGGTCCCCCTCCTCCTTCATCAGATGCTCTTCCTACCACCGAAGATGTTGACAAGCTCCCTCTTAGGTACTTCCATCTCTTCTTTTTTTTGCAGTTGAGCTATATATGAATGCTTTAGCTATGCACTTCCATTTTTTTGTTTGCCAAGAATTCTAGAATTAAGGAATAGGTTAGCTCAGTTGAACGACCGATTAGTAATAGGTTATAGTTGTGGATGAGGAACTTAGAAGAGTAGCTCCCATGTTAATCATTCATTTATTTAGTGAGCACGAAGTTTATAATAAATTATAGTACTTGAGATGTCCAGCTCATTTCTCCTGTAAATTGTTCAGTTTCTCAATCCATACTGTCCAGCTCAATTGTCCTGTAAATTGTTCAGTTTCTCAATCCATACTGTTGTTGTGATAGGCAACCTAGAAGTGGCACTGGGGAGAATTTGTTAGCTGTACAAAAGGGGGGTTACAAGGAGCTGTAAAGCATGATGAATTTCAGTTCTTTTATTACATGCTATCTCAGTGCGAGACAGCATATAATATTGCCCACTAATATTTTACTGTGGGTTTATGTTTTTTGGAGAAGGGTGGGATTCTATTGCACAAAAAAGGTCGACAGAAGCTCCAATTTTTAGTAGAAGAGATCAATTATTTGGGCTGGTGAAAGATGTTTATAAGGCTTTGCTCATGGAAGAAACTCTAATGAATGTTATATATGACTATGATTTTGAGTCTTTTGACACATTTTTCAGTCAAGAATGCCCTCTTTTTTGCTTGCCTTGGAGAAGGAGGTTAATGGACATTCTTTTTCTACAGTGGTTGCAAGGGCTGTGGGAGAGAGGAAATAGAGAAGGGATGCAATGGAGAGGGAAGAATTCAAGGTGGGATTGCAACCGTTCCGGGGTTCGGTTGGTGGCCAATAAAGGCTTACAGGCCATGTCCTGGATTTTTATCATCTGGAGGCAGGTATAGGCGACAAGGCCAAAGCATGGACGAGGTAGCATTTGGAAGGGAGCAGAAAGAAACTCCTGTAGGGATCAGTAATGAGGGTGAGACCAGGTAAATTTGTGCACAGTTTTAGCTAAGCAATTGTGCATCCTGCTATTATTATTTCCTGAAATTTTACGTAAGCAAGCTGGCTTGGATTTTATGCTTATTTTTCGATGAGCTAGCCAAGTGCGATTTTCAGTTACTACATGTACAGTCAAGCCTATTTTCATATAGAACTATAATCCAGATATCGGCCAACAGACAATTGTGTCCATGTAAAGTCAAGTTGGCATCTAAAAGATGAATGGCTTTGTTGCTTGTAAGAGAGAACTACTCCAATTTCATATGCTTTCCTCATTTCTTAGTGTGTCTGGCAATTTTAATTTATAAGAGAACGAGAATAATCAATTGTTTTGGTGATAAAAACCCTTTTGCATCTCAGTGAAGCATAATAAGAAATATAATCCGTTCAGCATGCGGTCTCTTTTCTCTCCTGACCTCTTCTTCTTCTGGAAAAAATGGGATCTGAGAGATCACAATTTATCCTAGTATCAAAATGCAGAAAAATCTTACAAATTCTTCTCTACTTCACTTCTCCAATCCTAGAGGTCATAAAGCGCTTCGTAGACGTTCGTACGCTCATTTTTGTGTGCACCTTTCCTTTGTAGCCTTTGTTCCAATTCTAATGTATGTATAACAGTGGTGAGTGATATGCCAATCTAGTTATACAATATGTAGTCACAGTATCATGCCGAATATTGCAGGAAGAAAAGGCAAGATCCAAGGAGATTTAGGAGGTAACACTTTGGAAAGAGATCGACTTGACCATAGCTCGACTGGCAATGGAGAACAGGTCGAGATTTATATCTGTTGGGACCACGGGATGTGGCTTTGTATGTGATCCTTTCTAGCCTTCTGCCTCATCAAAAATAGAAGAACTTTTTCATGAATTCTCAGATTGATTTTGTTCTGGCCATCATTTCTTCTGATCTGTTTTACATCCTTAATGCAGAGCCAGAAACTTTAATGTTCATCGCAGTTGATTCTACTGTGTACAGCTTTTGAGAGATCTCTCTACCTATTCAGCCCTCCATGTCACTAATCAAATTTTATAGAGTGACATTCCAGAGAAATTTCTCACTTCTTAAGAGTAATTATGTTCTGATCAAGCTTTAATGGATTGTCTAGAGTTCAACAAATCAATTCATCCAGTAGCAGCTCAGAATAATAAAATATATCAGTGGTGATGATGTTGTATTGGGAATGTGACATATCAGGGAACATCATCTCCCTCATTTGGCAAGGGAAGGTCATTCTCCCCATGAAACCAAAAAAAAAAAAGTCTGAAAAATTTTACTTTCCTGTAAAGGCGAGATTTCTAAACATGCAATATGATACTATATTATTTCTCACACGTTTTCAGGAACTTGAGCTTCTTTTACAATATTGCTAGTAATCTTAATTTAATTATTGCAAAAGAAAATCATCAAAATGTTCTTAGATATGTTCTCCTTTTTCTTTATGTTTCTGATATCATGGTACAGAGAATTTGTCCATTTTTTATTCCGAAGCCATTGATAAAAGAAGGTTTTCTGTTGTCTTTTTAACCAAATTTTTTTCTATTATTTTACCAACCAGCCCACAAAAAGGAAAATTAAAAAATAAAAAAAGGTGAGGGATAAAAAGTAGTTTTTTAGCCGATTGAAAATTCATGAGGAACGAGACGCTTGATGGTAGAAAAAAAAAATATACCGAAAAAAGTAATTAACAAAAATCTAAAATGATTATGTTTTTACTATAGCAATTTATTTTACCCTTCTGAAAAAAATCAATTAACTAGCTCCTGGGGTAAAACGATATTTTTATAAGGTTTAGGTGAAAAGCGATCTAATTATATTTCTAAAGCACGTTAATTACATTATCCTTACAATCAATTATTTAAAAAAAAAATTGATATCCTAGGTTATTTTTGTTTTTTAAGCAAAATAAAATAACCTAATTAATCTTAAAAATGATACTTGTTCAACCGAATAACCGAATAAGTGTATTTTTTATTTTTATCTTGTTTTTTTATTTATTATAATCAAGTTAGAAAAACAAACTAGTAATTTAATAAATATAAATTTTATTTTTTTAAAAATAACTGATTTATATATCACAAATGTCAACATGTTGTTTTTTA